ATTTAAAGTAATCAGTAAGTGGGCTGCTCTGAGTATGTCTGTCAGGGCCAGTCCGGGCTGAGAAAGATATAATGTTCCGGCAAAAAGACATTCTCGATTTTTAAAAAACAACAAACAAACAAACAAAAACCTTTCTATTATAGTGGAATTCAAACCCAAGACTTTTGGGTGCAATCTCGGCAGAGAGCTTGACTGCTACACCACAGACGCCAGTCAGTTAACTCTATCCGTACGCCCCGGGGTCATTTTGTACCGCCGGGGTTGTATTCTTCTCATTTTACAATATTTCTAGTGCGAAGGTCTCTTTGTAACTTTCAGTATTCCTCAAAAAATAATTTTGGCAGACTGCTAGGCAAAGCGTACAGATCGGATTAACGAGTAAATTTCCTCTTTGGAAAGTGGTGGCACAGAGTTCCCCACGTCGTATGTTTACGATAGTAAAACACGACGTACGGATAGGGTTACTATTTACGAATAACAGCAGAAGAAAATTGCTTATTCTTTGTTTAATTTCCATGACACCACTTTTCAAATCGTGCTGCTGATCTAGAATCAGTTTTTCGTGGCTGTCGTTCACACTAAAGACTTCCTTGTGACTTAAACTTGAGGAAAGTTACAAAGTCATGAAAACAAGCTGAAGTACAAGCAACGTTAAGTTATATCCATAGCTCGCTCTGCTCATAACTCTTTCAACATTCCTTATCATAATACATTATATAACACTGACTATTAGCACAGTGCAAAGTCAATGTTTTATAAAATTCTGCATTCTGTTCAGATTTTTCTGAAACAAGGAATTATTTACGAAAAAGACAAGAAACAAGAAACGTGATATATTGACAAAACACAGTCACAAAGACGAGTATCCTAATTCTTTCATAGAGCAGGTATGTAAGGGATATTTAATGTGTCTGCCCCGACATAGTATCGGTAACATGACTTTCTGTAAGGGCATGTTGGTTCATCTAGCATGGGCCATTTAATCCCACGACACCTCGTGCAAAAGACAAGTTTATGTATGCAGGCCTATTGCAAAACCCAGCTATACCGCCAACTCGATGGCGATTGTACGGCGATATAGAGAGGCCGGTCGTATTACGGGAAAAACGCATGTATTTACATGTATGTTATGATATTATATACATAACATGGGCATGTATGTATGTATGTATGTATGTGTATGTTTGTGTCTGTGTATGTGTTTGCGAGCGTGTGTGCATGAGTGTATAGTATGTGTGTGCGTACAATTTGCGTGCATGTCTATTCATTTGTGTGTTTGTGTATTATGTGTGTATGTGTGTGTCTATGTGCGCGTGTGTGTGTGTGCGTGTGTCTGTGTGCATGTGTGTGTGTGTGTGTGTGTGTGTGTGTGTGTGTGTGTGTGTGTGTGTGTGTTCAACATAATCGATAGACAATCGCAGATGTTTTACTCTAACCGATATCCCCAAATTAGGTCAGGCACGTTTTCGTCTGAAATCACATTACTTACAATGGCAATTAGAATTATTGACGATACTACAGAAAGCTAGTGGGACACCCTGCATAAAATTTTGAGCAATTCTGAAAGATTGTTTAAAAAAATGAAAATTTGGAAATTTTTATCGACTTCTTGTTTCGTTTTGTTTTGTTTGTTTGTTGTTTTTTTTTGTTTGTTTTTTTTGGTTTTTATGCCCAACAGCTTTTATGTCCATATTTAGAAACACATTTCTGTGGAGATTTTACTGAAAAACGTTAATTTGAGGCACCACGAAAAAAAAAGAAGAAAATTTCCACTTTTCAAGGACTCTCAAGCTATTGAAGTCACCAAACTGTGGCAGCCATTTTCTCGCTAATTTTACCCCTGAAACTAGGCAAACACCACCCCCTTCATATTCGAATATTTTTACTTCTATTTAAGATATTTTGGTAGTTCTTTTATCGGAAGATAAACGAATGAACAAGCTTGAAAATGATACCAGTAACACTCCACCTCCAAAAACGGATGAGCGCCTGGTTCCACAGCGTCGTGGTACATCTTGCTTTTACTTCCAAAAAAAGTATTATTTACCTATTTCAGCGGATGTACGGCTAGATTCGGACGCAATGTTGTTCAGTTTGAGATTTTGCTGAGACTATGTTGCAACTTTCCAGATATAATTCCCGAGGTCATTTTGAGACTGCATGTCAGCAAAGGTGCCCATGGGGAAAATATAACAGGCTAACCGGATGCGCTATTTAGATCATGTATGAGGAATGCAGAAAGAAGAAAGCTTTTTGTTTAATATAACTGAGCTCCACTGCCTACTACGTGGAAGAAAAAGAAACATAATTTTTATTTCAACATTTTCTTGGTTACTTTTTTTTTTTTTTGGGGGGGGGGGGCATGTTTTGTGGGAAATTATGTTTAAAAAATCAACATTTTCTTTTTCTTTTTCATCCGGATAAAAAAAGGATGCAACCTCTGTGCCGACGATCAAGCCATGTAGATTAGATAATTTATCTCTGCCTACCTGACTTCGAGTAGTTCTAAGCACAACATGCTAAGGAGAAAATGAAAAAAAAAACCTACATATTTTGCAGAACTACTAACTAAATGACTAATCTGGCATGACCCTCTCTACCTCGCACTTTGTGATCCCGCCATGTTCTTGATGCGAGTCAATGCGCTACCACGTAGAGGCAGAATCCTACTGCCAACAAGAGGCTGAAAGAGAGCTTTCCGTCAGTTGACGCATACAGGAGAAATCATCTTTCTTTTCATGCAGCTTGCGCCTATATATTCTAGTTCAACTCTTGAGAGAGAGAAAAAAAACTACGCTTATTATATTATAGCGTTTCCATTCCCATGGCTAAAACAAAATACCTTTAATTTTTAAAGTAAATGTGTGAAAAAAAGTTTAAGTAACTGTGCAAAACATATATCTAAGACCCCCTCAGTATGAAAAATGTCAAAAACATGAATGATCCGGCTGCTTAACATTATTTTTAAACAACAATAGTGAATTTTATTCCGTTGAAAGGCGATTCTAATCCACCCTACCCCCGCCCCACCCCATTTTCCTTGATAATATATTAATTCAGAAGTATCCTGTGTGATTATTCCACGCCACAAAATCTTTAGCAAAGCTGCTTCTTAAGATTATCAAATGTTTAGGCAATATTAAGAAAAAAAATATTTTTGAATCTTACCTTAATGTCTAATTACATTGGCAATGAAGGATATCATTTTTCAAAAGCAAAATTAAAGAACATGAGATCACTTACAGAACAGACTTGCAATGGCCTCCATGACGCCAACCACCAGTGACGTCATCGACGAAGTGGAGTTAAACTTTTCCTGAAATTCTACCAGGAATATTCCCAGCGACTTCAGGTAGCCCACGAATAGGAACTGGATACAGAAGACGGCTGTTGGGGACGACAGATAAAACCACACGGAGGACGTTAGAATTTGCATTTGACCCGGAAACTATTGATCATCATCGCGTCACGGTAATGAAACATTGGACAAAATATTGGCTGCTCCGGTACGAAAAAAAAAGTATCCATCGAATGTCATGTTTCGGTCGCCCGGGAAAAAATGATGACGTACATGCTTTTCAAAACGGGAAATGAATCTCAAACCAGCCATGATCGATTTCAATCATTTTCGTTTTCTAGACAGAAGTCTTGTCAGCTGTCAATGATCATATCATACGTTAACAAAACGGAATGAAAGAATTCCTTCTTACAACTCAAAAGATATTTCCATAGGCCACCAAAGAAATGCACTCTAAGTTAGCAAACTGCAAGTCTTTATTCAGGCAATAATGCTTTGGCAGTATACTAACCAAGACTGCTTTTCCAGCTTGATCTATGGGTATGATCTGTGATAATGGAGACCACTTTACTATATGAAAAACGTGTACTTCATTCGCTTTCGTTTGCAAAATACGAAATAAAACAAAACAATTAGACTCACAGCAATAGCCAAGAATTGAAAGTTTCTCCAAAGCGTTTTACTGAGCTCGGCAATTCATTTTCTTTTCAAAATTGGGCCAAAGCGAACAACAGATGCGGGTGATTGCTAGGGACATCTTCCCTCTTCTTGTTTCGTTTTCAATACAGATATTGAAAGTTGGCAGCTTTAAAAAAAAAAAATTGAAATTACTGCAAGTTTTATTGTCTTTGAATCCACCTTTGCGATTAGTGCTTAATTAATAAAGGACAAACGGTATGTCGTAAGTCAATCAAGTTGCATGGCCGAACACTGAAACAAGAAGAAGGAAAAAGAGCACGCAATGAGAGGCCCAATTCTCTCTCATCAATGCGTACGACTCTGTTGTTAGAAAGACCACCCGCAAGTCGTTGAACGATCAACCAACCTTCTTTTTTTTTCGTCTGCGCAAAAGATCATAGCATGTCGAACCAGCACGTCAATTTCCAAATATCCAAAGTCTACCATTTGAAACAACAAACAGCACGTCTACCCACCTAGTACGACCACCCAAGCATACCCCGTGTCTGTCGGGTATGTGAGTTTTGTCTTGTCACCTTCTGTATCATCGATGTTATCATCTTCATCATCTTCATCTTCGTCGTTCAAGTCTAAATCATCACAGGGAAAGTCACTACCATCATCGTCAGGGTTCGAAAAAACCTCAGACATGGAGACGTTCTGGTCATTGTTTTCATCGTCGTCAACATCATCGTCGTCATCATCACCGTCGTCTTCATCATTTCTCGTCTCGTCTTCGTCTGATAGAAGCTCGCTTGCACCAAATTGCTTTAAGCCCGTGGAACTCTCTCCATCTTCTGGTGTCAAAACTAAGTTGAGAGCACTACCTGATGGACCCAGCCCCTGGGAGGGGAGATAACCCATTGTCTCACTCTGCGTCTCGTCGGAGTGGACATCTGGAGACTTCAACGTCCCAGAAAATTCTCCCCTCTTTCCAAGCAGTTGCCCATCGCGCTCCTTAAACAGGGGGCCATTTTTGGACAAAGCCCCAGCGGCTTTCTCGGGTGTGCCCGGCTTCACAGCCTCTGGAGACACTTTGGTCGAAGGATGAGACGCCCCCACAGAGCTATCCACAACATCGGGGAGAAAAACCATGGCACCAGGAGGGCGCAGACAACTCCAACCAATCGGATTTCTCAGTTCTCTCCAATTTTCTGACTTCCTTCGTTTCGGTAGGTAGTAGCACCAGTTATCGTATGCCCAACTAACTGGATGTTCGTTTCTTCAAACAAGAAGACGCAAAGAGTATCTTTTATCACGTGCCAGTGAGAGAGACAGCGGTAAAACCAGTGGACTGTCACAACCAATTGTCTGAGTAAGTAGATGAACCAAAGACACTACTTTGTTTGCTCACACTTTTGTTGCAAACTCACTCAAAGCCAACGTTACTGTAGAGCCAGTTGACCTCACTCTTAGCTCGTGAAGGAACACCAATTTCAAGGTGCAACAAATGGACATAGATTTACCACAAACACTAGCGTTGTTCACCAGCAGTCAGATAGCACCAGATTCTGCAATGAAATCAACAAAAGGTACCACGTTAGATTTCCAGAGCAAATTTCCTGTCAAAATCATTGTCTGTTTCTGTTCGTCAGGGTTTTGTGATTGCGTTCATGTTGGGTTTTTCTTCTGTTTAAATGTAGACACAATGTGATTGACTTTATGACCTATCCAGTCATCATACAAGTGACAGGTTCGTGTAAGTCTGTATGACACCATAATTCAAGGTTTGGTGAATTGTATACATAGTATATCTGCCATATTACTTCTGTTTTTATTTGATTCGTCACACTTTATTTAGATGAAAATAAAAACAAACGTGAAGAACTCATCTCCCTTTTGCGCATCATAATCAAAAAGTATTTTATTCACAACCTTTTGCTTACTTTGCACAGCTTATATTCTGACAATAGCTGTTTGTGATCACACCTAGTGCGTAGTACACTGTAGTAATACGGTTTGGATGGGAAATAATTCTCCACTGTAGAAAGTAACGAAACAAACAACCCAGTTCTTATAGTGATAGTGGTGGTATAGCAAATAAAAAAACAAAAACAACACACACCATTTACCGCGCTCAGATTATCTTACAGGATCACATTCAGTTTGGGTACACACACGCACGTGGTCACCATCAAGGTACCAACACTTTTTATGAAAATCCCTGATAGTACCATATAATAAACCATTCAACACTGTTTTGATTTATTGTCTCAAAGGCGCATTCAGTTTGAGTCACAATGAGCCCGTTGACACCATCAAAGTAACGATACTTTTGTGAAAACCGTTGTATGGTACTTTGAGTAAAGACACGTACATTTCCACCATCTAGGTACTGGTACTTTTGTGAAAACCATTTGATAGTAGTTCGAATAAAAACAACCCCATAAAGACGTACCAACACTTCTGTGAAATCCGTATTCTTAATAAAGACGACCACATTGATACCATCGGAGTACCGATCCTTTCGTGAAAACCATTTGATAATAGTTTGAATAAAAAACAAGCCAACTGACATCATCGAAATACCCACACTTTTGTGTAAACCGTGTAACCAGAGCAATAAACATCAATATCCTTTTGTGCGCTTTGTGGTTTGATGGCCTCCCCACCACAAATTGATTGAATAAAACCGCTGTTATAAAACACCAAAGTTATACCTTTGATTCATAGGCAGATTTTGTTGTCAAACATAATACATACCGTGTACAAACAAACCAATGCAACACTTCCCTGGAGTCATTTTCTTTTTAAAAAGATAATTTGGAATACATTGTGGCACTGAATTAACAGTAGGAGAATTGTATCAAATACAACGTCATTGTGCATGCATGCGTTTGTGTGTATGTGCGTGTGTATGTGTGTGTGTGTGTGAGAGAGAGAGTGTGCGTGTGTGTGTGTGAGTGAGTGTGTGTGTGTACATGCATTTGTGTGTGTCTGAGTGTTTATGTATTCGAGTGTGTGTGTGTGTGTGGGGGGGGGGGTGTATGTGTATGAACGTGTTTGTTTGAGTGTGTGCATTTTGTGTTTGGTACGAGAGCGTGAGAGAGTAAGGGGAGAGGATAGACAGAGAGGCAGACAGACGGACAGACAAACAGACAGACAGACAGATAGACAGACTCCAGTGACACGCTAGCAAGACGTGTCCCTCACCCGGTCACTTTATGAAACACACCAAAACATTTCGAGGACACGGTCGAGGAACTCATAGCTCCTATCGCATAATCCTGCTTTTGAATCACATTAGGTCAACTCCAGCAACAAGAGATCGCCATATATCACTGTAGTACCACTGGGGAAAAGGCCGAGAGTAACACTGTACAACAGCAGAAGAGTCACGTTACGTTACCAAAAAGTGGTCACCTGGTTCCCTGTGACCCATAAACCTACATAGCGGGCAGTACGTCATGATTGCTATAGATCGACGGATCAGTAGCAGCTGATACCACCCACACAGCTCACAAACTATAGTTTCTGATGTGGAAATATTTATCCTTTTACTGTGTCAATTAATAATATCTTTTTTTTAAAACCAGCAACAACCTTTATCAGCTTTAATTAATGAATGAAAAGTGCAAATGATTCAAATGTACATGGTTCAAAGTACCCCTTGTTACGAAAGATATTGTTAAAACAATTATTAAGATAGAAGTAGTTGGCAGAGATGTGGGAATCGCAGATATGCTTAAATGCTAAAGTTCAAATTTTGAATGTGTTGTTCTGATCTACAAGTGAGACTTTAAAACGATGAGAGAGAGAGAGAGAGAGAGAGAGAGAGGGGGTGTGTGTGTGTGTGTGTGTGTGTGTGTGTGTGTGTGTGTGTGTGTGTGTGTGTGTGTGTGTGTGTGTGTGCGTTTGCATGCATACCTGTAGCTATGTTTTAATAAGCCCTGATTCCTCTCTTCTGTAAATTATAGTTATTTTCCTCATTACTCTTTTTTTTCAGAAAGGCTCGACAAAGAGGTTTTGTATAATATTTTAAAACATTTACAAACCGAAATGAAATCAAGCGTTCACTGGAAACAAAAAGACAGCATAGATCTATCATATTATTTAAAGTATGAAATAGCATAACAAGATCTATCATATTATTTATAGTATGCAATAGCATAACAACTCAGGTGGACTCACATTCAAACAATCTACTTTGATAGTTACCACATTATATAAATATATAGCAAATTATACTTCCGGTACTACATGAGCCACAAATCCGTCAGACAAACAGTGATCCCGACTGAACTGAGAGAAGAAACATGTATCGTAGAGTAATAAGCACACGTGGAGGAACCGATACACAGGCTTGCCACGATCACTATCCCATTATATATCAGCGACAGTAGCGAATCACGTTTCTGTAACGTAGGCCTACAGGCGCAGCCAAATAAGACAAAAATATAATGTCGTCACGTGATTTTGGTACCTGTAACCTGATTGATACAATGTGGGCCCATGTCTTTTTTTTATCCTCTGAGAGGGAGGGACGGGGTGGGTATGTGAGTGTGTGTGGGGTGTGGGGCTGTGGGGGTGAGGGGGTGGGTGTGGGTGGGATTGTGTTTGTGGCCTGTGTGTCT